CAAGTTCAAGTAGTGCTCCCGATCAGTGGTGGGATTCAAACTTTCTTACTACTGGTTCTGTGGGCATGGCTTGGTGGGTGTGGTGTGGCTTGATGGGTGTGTTTTCAAAAACAACTGGAACCGTGGAAGGAATATCCTTCTGGGTTCAGTTCCAAGTGGGGGGAAACACTGGATTCATGGAAGTTGCTTGGAAAGATGGCTTAACGGTGGACAGGATCAGAGGCCTTGAAGATGTTGAGTGAAGAAAAAAATGGGGAGAGATGCTGAGTGTGCCTGAGCTTTATACCCTCTGGACTTTTGAATTTGAGCTTGTATTCTGATTGGTTGTCAGACTCCCATGGGGCCATGCAGGGGCAACTCTGTAGGCTGTCCTGAGTCATAAGCTTGGTTGAGCCTTGCTGGATGATGTCATCTTCCAAGGGGCCATGTGATGAGATGGGTAGAGGGCTAATCCTATCATGTCCTGAGGGCCACGTCTTAACCCCATCACCCTAGAGCTGAAGGGGGGAGGGAAGGGAGCTGCAGGAAGCTGCTTTGTCTTTAAAACATGTTTCTCCTTTTCTCATCCAGGAAAACATAACCTTCTGCCTTTTTAAATGTTTCCTAAAATATTTCATTTTGCTAGGAGAGGGGTGGGTGCTAACTTCCTACAGAACCATGTAGGCACAGAGACAATGATTGCATGGAGATAGAATAAGCAACAGCTGGACTGCACTAGAAGCTTATAGTTCTGATTATTTACACCATCCACTCCTAAAATAAAGTGGGTACTTTTTCACAGAAAGCGAAGGGGCAAATGTTATTCAAATCCCATTAAACAGAAGCAACACCACCCTGAAGATGCAGGGGGAAAAATGCCTTAAGTCAGTGCACATCAGGATTGTACAATGTTTTGGTGCCACTGAGTACATCTCAACTTTTGAACGCATATTACAGGCCCAGTCACAAAATGGCTTGCTAGGATGGGCACAGCGAACTGCAACACAACCAATAGATAAACTATGATCTCCGACTCTCTCTCTCTTACACAGAGGCAATGGCTTCTAGAGCAGTGTTTCTCAACCTTGGTGACTTTAAGTCCTGTGGACTTCAACTCCCAGAATCCCCCAGCCAGCTGTTGAGAAACACTGTTCTAGAGAGTGAAGTTACTCATCCTGTTTTACTTTTTTAAATTTTACTACTTTAATGTTTTACTTTATGGTTTAGACCTGGAAGCATTACTGGAAACACAGGTTGTCAGGCCTGGAAGCCATCTTTTACACTGGGCCTTCAGGCCTGCCACATTTAATGCTGAGGGGAAATGGGAGGGCGGATTATATGGAGTATGGGAAATATATAGTCACAACAACTTCCTTTCTCAGAGTCAAGGACAGTTTGCCCTGCACCTGGAGGGGGTGTGACTGGGAGGCATCTCCAGTTGGGACGGTGCCTGATTGGGCCATGTGACAGACATCTGGGTACTGGACAGTGGCTTGGATGTTCATTTGGGGTGGGGAAAACCTGGAAGCTTTCAGATTCTCTAATAAAATGGAACTCTGGGGAACTTCCAAGCCTCCGAGTCTTCTTTAGTTGGGGGTGCTTCTTGGAACCCTGACACAGGTGATGTTTAAGGCACATGCTTTTCTATATAGCAGGCTAGAATCCCATTTTTTTAGTAACAATCCCAAATATGCCCTTTTGATCATAATCTTGCTATTAGGAATAAAAGGGCGTATTCGGGATTGCTTCTAAATCATGGGATAGTTTATTTAACAAGCATTCTAGGAGTTAAGTCTGTTCTCTTGTAGTGGCTTGAGAACAATCTCTTCAGAGGAATCGTGCCTGCAGTTGTTCTACCTCAAATTATTGTATTCCCTACAATAGACCATGGTGATGACTGAAGTACATGTTCCTGGAGATTCATTATCCAAAAAAACTACACATTGTGTAATAGTGTCTACCTGGAAAAAGTGATAGCCATGGCACAGCAACTACCCAACACAATATGCTTGCAGGTTTCTAAGAAGAATCTAGCTGGCCCTGCGTCCAGTAATCTGCTGCATTAAAGTGGACTTTAGTCTAATATGGAAGATCCTTTTTTTCCCCTAGCATTCTGTCAGCTGGAACTTGATGGATTCCAACATCTTCAACCACCTTCCAGATATTGCTGAAGATTAGCTCTTATCAGCTGGCCAGTGCTAAGGGTTGTTGCTAGCAGGAATTCACCAGCTCTAGGTTACATATTCTTGCTTTCACCAAATGAGTTTCTTGCCTGAACATCTCTGAAATGTTTTAAGTATTTTAGTGCCAAATGTATTTTAATCTTCGGTTCCATCTAGTGCTATTAAAGAGGCATTACTTTATAATCTTGGCTGAATAATTGAAGAAAGGAAAACTATTTGGATTCTTAAAAGTATGAAAGGAGGGAAAATGTATTCACATTCCCGGACGATACCACTGATGTAGTAAAATTTAGGGTTGATAGTTTTTATAACAAAGTTTTATTTAATTGTAAAAAACACAAGTCGTAAGGGAAACCACAGCTTTGACAACTGTATTCGCACCCACCAACTATATGCTAAGCCGTGCACTCATGCGTTGGTTGCACACAGCAGCTACTCAGTTTGCAAAATCTCCTCCTTATTGGCTAACTTGCTGTCCATCCTCTCAGCTTGTGGTGGGAGCAGCAGTCTTCTGACAGAGACGGGCTAGCAAGCCTGCCATTTGTAGGAGCGAATGTACTCCTTCTACTATCTTCATGTGCGTGTAACCGATTTCCTAATCATAGAGGGGGGGAAAAGATATTAAATTCAAATGAGCTTCCTGTTTTTCCTGCTGTAAAGATACAACATTTCAGTATACACTGATGAAATCACAACCACTATATTTTCATGTTGCAGCTATGCGCATGCGAGCTGAGATGTGGAAGAGGAAACCACACAGAGAAAACACCTCAACCAAACAAAAACACTCATCCCTGAGAAAAGCATCAAGTGTTATGTCCTGCCCTAAAACTATCCTCGGAATTCCCACCATCATTTGATGGAGACTTAACGACTACAACTGAGTCCAAAATTCCTGTTGCTTAGCAAGGCAGTTGAATTTTAACTTTCTTGCCAGTTTTTAAATGAAACACTGTAATTGTTAAGTTAGTAACGTGGTTGTTAAGTGAATCCGGTTTCCTCACTGACCGCTTGTCAGAAGGTCACAAAAGATGATCAGGTGACCTTGGGACAGTGCAACCATCATAAATTCATGCCAGTTTCCAAGTGTCCGAATTTTGAACACGTGATCGTGGGGATGCTGCAAACGTTCTTAGTGTGAAAAATGGCCAATTTTACTTTGGGATTTAATGGAATTCATTAGTACCCCTTTCCCCTATTTAAGGAAGACATTTATACAAGATTATAAATGGATCTATATAAAGATCCAGATGTTTAAAAGATTCCTTCTTCAGCCACTTGGCTTGCGCAGCCAAGCCTGCTGCTTACACCAGCAACATCCCCCAAAACCTAACCTTAATGAACTCCAACTTCAGATATTCTGCCATTTGGAATGTTTTACAGACTCGGAAAATATTGCCGATGATGTCTTCAGGTGAGTAACCAAGCTTCCATAAGTGAGCAAGAATCTGAAGGAAGAACAAAATTATCATTTGATGTCTAACAGCTTTAAAGATGCATATCCAATTTCTCAAACACTGTTTTTAAGGCAGCTCAAACATAAACAAGAAGGAATATAATCACAAATTAAACTATAAAGATAACGGACTTCAAAAAGGAGAACAAAGAGGAAGATTTGTGACTTATGTTTTTTTTCATGACCCCATGCCAATTGTTACCTTTAGAACATATAAATAACTAAAGGCATGGCCCAGGGCAGGGGTGTCAAACTCACGTCACGTTGACGTTACATGACCTATCACAACTTTTTTCTCCTTCACTAAAATGGGGATGGGCATGGTCAGAGTATGATGCATCCAGCCCACGGGCCGTGAGTTTGACACCCTTGGCCTAGGGCAGGGGTCGGCAACCTTAAGCACTCAAATTGCCACACAGCTGCTAACTGGAAGCCGCCTGTTCAATTCTGGAGCTGACTGGAAGTCCGGTTCCCCCACCATAGAGTCTCCTCCTAGTGTGGCATCCTTTTTCCTGTACCTGTCCTAAATGAAAATCCTATCAATTGTGGAGCCAGCAGGCAATAGGGAGCCGCAGCAGAGGGATGAAAGAGCCACATGCGGCTCCAAAGCCACAGGTTGCTGACCCCTGGCCTAGGGCTATATGTAAAACAACCCACGAGCTCTTAAAATGGTTATGAGAAAGAGATCCTTTTATAGACTTAGTTTCTGTCCTATGTTCAGACCAAAAAGCAAGAAAATCAGAAAGCAAACGAGGCAAAAGATATGCACTCCTCTTGTGCCCACCTTATAAGCTTCATCAATGTTTGCATTGACACAATGACCGATCATCTCCTTCACCAGCAAAGGATGGGGTTCATCACACACCTATGGCAAAAACAGAAGCATCCTGAAGCCAAAAGCCCCCAGTGCTATTGAAAACAGATTGAAAGTCCCCCCAATGCTATTGAAAACAGTTACTAGTCCATCTCCATAAAGAAAGATCAATCTATTCCAGTGGGTCTCAACCTTCCTAATGCCGCGACCCTTTAATACATGTTCCTCATGTTGTGGTGATCTCCAACTATAAGATTATTTTATGTTTTCTGTATTTTTTCAAAAATATGTGTTTTCCAATGGTCTTAGGCGACCCCTGTGAAAGGGTCGTTCGACCCCCAAAGGGGCCCCGAACCACAGGTTGAGAACCACTGATCTATTCAAATTATGCAAGGCTGCACAGGTTCTACAAGAGCTGTAAAGATATGAGAACTATTAGTCTACCAAAGTAGAACTGGTTCAGGATAATTTCATATGAACTCAGTAAAACACAGCATAATCTCTTAAACTCTAACACTTCAGCTTCTTGGTTCCAAATGAGCACATAATTTTTAAAATGTGTAAAACAGGTCCAATTTTTCCCCCCCATGAAATTGACATCCCAATTCATGATCTACATCTAAGTTCTTCCATGAAACTGGTTGCTTACTTGCATTAACAATGATCAAAGTAGTTGATAAGACGCGAAGCCATGCCACATGGTATGCGTGGTGTCGCCTGTTCTGGGTTTCTGGGGCACATGCACGCGTGATGATCAGCTGGCCTTCGTGCATGCGCCAGTGCTGGAAAGTGGAAGAGCTTGTCTTGCCGTTTTCCTGAGTGAGTATGTGTGCCGGCCAGCTGATCGTTGCCTGTGCATGTACGCCAGAAATCCAGAAGATGTGTGCCAGAAACCAGAAGTTCATTTTTGGGCACGCGCATGTGCCCTGGGCAGCTCCTCTTCCAGATTGCAGGCCAGATGAGCATGAGTGCACGCTCCCTTTTCAGCACTCGGTGCCGAAAAGGTTCGCCATGTGATAAAGAGTGTTTAGAATTCTGGTTCCAAGGGCTGGGGGAAAAATTAGCAAGCCAACAGGGTAGACAGTATTAAAGTAGGTGGCTCTAGAGTCTGATTTGGCATAAAGCAACTTCCTATGTGATAGGACCTTAGAAGTGAACCACAGTGGGAAGTGAACCACAGGGGGAATATCACTCACATGGGCAAGATAAAGATTTTCTTTGGAGAAGGCATTCTTAATATTAGGAGTTTTTTTGGTGGAGGACTTTAAAAAAGGGCAGCAAGTAAGAGATGCCCAGTGAAAAAGAAGAATCATGCTACCTTTAAATACAAGACAATAAAATACATTTTAGGAGGTAATTTTCTTCGATGTAGCTTCCCTTCTGCCATTTTGCCAAAACTCCTTTACAATTCTGAAAAATTGCAGATCTTACTGATTCTGATGAGCAAAAGAAAAACTGCCAAAAGAAGAGAATATATGTAGCTTAGAACTATGGAGTCCTTGGTGCTCTTTGAACTTGGCTGTTTGCTTGCTGGGGTTTCATTACCCAGCCATGTAACATTTATCAGTGCCGTTTTACAGAAAAACTTTAATTAACCTTAAATACATTCTCGCTATTGATGAAACCAAATCCGGAATGGGTAGATTGCAAGTTGTTTAGTGCCTGTTAAAAGAATGAAAATGAAACTATCATTACTATATATAAAAAGGTTAGCCTTAAAGTTTTAAAGATCGACATAGTTTCTCAATCAGGAAAGAAAAATATCTGGATATGACTAACATGGCATGATTTTTGTACAAAGAGGTAGGAGCATAGTTTACAGAAATCACCATATTTTTTAGACTATAACCCCCCCCCCCCAAAAAAAAAGTGGTTGGAAATGTCTGTGCATCTTATACAGCGAATGTTGCCGAAGCCCTGCCCACCCACCGGCTTCCCCCCTTTTGGCTTCTGCCTCCCAGCAATTTTCCTGCTTGCAGCAAACAGCCTAGTAAGCTTCAGCACAGCCTGATTTAGCATGAGCAGCTGATTGGCGGTTGGATCAGCCTCCCAAAATACCGCCTATCAGCTGTTCCAGGCTGCAAGTAGCAATAGCAATAGAACTTATATGTATATACCGCTTCACAGTGCTTTACAGCCCTCTCTAAGCGGTTTACAGAGTCAGCATATTGCCCCCAACAACAATCCGGGTC